GCCATACCCGAGAACCGCAGAATCAACCCGAGAAACGCGCATTATATGGCAGAGTCTTGATTACATTTTGTCAACCATCGATCTCACCCCCCCGTCGCGCACCACTAAATATCCTCTACTATCCCTACAAATCCTATATAATTCAGACTCTGCGGAGGAGAGTGGAAGTTGGACCTAAGTTTGCATGTTGGTTTGTGCGCAACGTCAATGTAGGAGTCTAGCTGCCATTTCTGATGTAGTGTGTATGTAAGGAAGTGTAATTGTCGTTTTTGTTTGGTTAAGTCGGTCCGTGTTAGTTTGTTGTTTATGTTGTAGCACCTTATTAATGAAGTCTAAAGGGCAGTCATTTTTGTAGAAAGTAGAGTATAAATACTTGCGTTCGTCTTGTTTGGATTGAACAGTGTTACAATGTGTGTCATTTTTGTTTAATATATGTAGAGTCATTATGCAATTGACTTTGTGTTGTGTTGTGTTGTGTTGTGTTGTGTTGTGTTGTGTTGTGTTGGGTGATTGCTATTGTACTATTTAAAATTTGATCTGTGTGTGTTTTCTTGTGTTGGGGATTGCCTCCCTTGTTTCGCCCAACAATTCACGTACAAATTAAAACCTCAAATAAATTCACAATGACGATATACAGTTTGTATATATATATATATATATATATATATATATATATATATATATATATATATATATATATATATATATATATATATATATATATATATATATATAAAAGAACAAACAAAACAAATTTAACAAATTAAAGGTTCACTTAGATTCTCTTCTCTCGCAATATCACAAGTCACGCTCTCGAGGATGTTTTTCTCAACACATAATGTTTCACGTGCATGCAGACTTTTGTATTGTCTTTCGTAACAGGCACGCAATGACCCGAACTTTATACAAGTTGGTACAACTTGGTACAAGTTGCCAATGTGCTGCTACTCCTTGGTACAAGTTCTCAAAGTGCTGGTACCCCTAGGTACAACTTGCCACCTTGACCGACCTAGTATAATATTCTAAATTTAACTAATATAAAATTTATGTAAAGTAATGTTCAATATAAAAGTTTGATCAACCTAAAATTGGAATCGTTATATATAACTAACTAAAATTAATAACGTGCTATAATAATAATAATGGACAGTCTCCGACACTCTCCCCCCATATAGCTCGCTAGTCGAGGTATATGTCTACAGAAGACTGTAATCAGTTATAGTATACTTTAACAAAATAATAGTTCTCTTGCAAGTTAGTAAGTTCACTTCTCTATTGAGTTCTACAATTTCTTGTATTCTCTGACGTGCTGCGGCTGCTGCATCTCTCGTAGGTCGGAATGGTGGAACATCTGGGTTTAACTGGGTTATGTCTTTTTTGACTTTCCAATCACAAGACAATTCTAGAGGGTAAAGGTGGTTGGGGGATCAGTCTAAGAATTTCTTTCCAGCTCGAAGTCTCACGGCTCTCACAACTCCATCACGCCCCGCATATAGCTCGTCCACGATACCGAGTGACCAGTTCGCTCTGTTCCGCTCGTCCGATTTGATGATGACTACGTCTCCCTTACTTAGCTTTAATTTCTTTGTACCCTTCTTTTGGTTATGTCGCTCACGCAGTCCTCGGATGTATTCTGTCGACCATCTGCGCCATACCGCGTCTTTGCAACGAGAAAGAAATCGTGCACGTTTACGTAGACTTAAATCTTCTAGGTAATGGGCTTGCAGTTCTGAATTAGGTGTTACGAATTAGGTGTTACGAATTAGTAACGAATTAGGTGTTAAAATCGGTCTCTGAACAACGTCCTCTACATATTGGAGTGGCCCGTTGTTCAATGCCACTTCCACATCTAAAAGTACTTCCTCTAGCTCCTTCCACTTCAGACATCCACCACCAATAGTTTTGTGCAATGAACGTTTCACCAACCCGATTAGTCGCTCAAACTGTCCTCCCCACCACGGAGCACGGCTAAGGTTAAATTGTCCATGAATTTCAGATCTCGGGAGAAAGTCCTGAAGTTTCTCGTCCCGTTGAACAGTTCTCAGCCACTTAGCGGCAGCTAAAAACGTTTTACCGTTATCTTAGTAGATCTTTCAGGTCGACCTCGTCTCGCAATGAATCGTTTAAGACTCTGAAGGAATTCTTGGGTGTGTAGTGAAGATAACAGCTCGATGTAAATAGCTCTGGTTAAGCTGCAAGCGTACAACACGATGTAAGCTTTCCCTTCCGTTTTCGTGCTTTTCTGATACTTCAGAGGTCCAGCGAAGTCTACTCCAACTGCTTGAAAGGGCCGATTCCTTCGGTTCTCTCGAGTGGAAGCATTCCTGGTGGTGGTTGTTCTAAGGCTTTTGCTTGAAATCGACGGCACCCATAGCAACTCTTTATTACTCTACGAACTAACTGTCTCAATCTCGGAATCCAGTATTTACTTCGTATGTGTGCCATAGTCATGCCGACTCCCCCGTGAAGAGTGCATGAATGAGAATCTTCCACTAACTTTGTCGCCAACAGGTTTATGTCAGGTATATAAACAGGATATTGTCCTTGAATTCGACCACGACATTCTAAAATACCGTTCGTATTTGGTTGTAAGTTTAGTCGTAACCGGTCTTCTTCTAAATCACAGTTCGATTGGGCACGCTTTACCCAAAGGAGACGTTGACTCTCCATCTCAGCCGTTGTCAATGGTCCTCTGATTCTTTGGTTAGGATTACGGCAGTTAAACGCGAATCTTGCTATCCAGGAACAGATTCTCAGGGTTTTCCACAGGTCAAACTTGGAGAGTAATTCTTCAATTTTGCGCATGCTGGTTTGTTCAACTGTTGCTGCGAAGATTTGGCAAATACTTTGGCTTCAGCATCGCTTTCTTTCGTTGCTGAGGTAATGATGTCACGGGGCCAGTTCTGTCGGTCAGCTACCCATTCAGGACCATTCCACCAGAGTTGATTTTCTTGTACAGGTCCACCTCTACTCCCTAAATCGGCTGGGTTTTCTTTGATGGGCACGTGACGCCATTCAAGCTGAGTGTTGGACTTGATCTTCACCACTCGATTTGCGACGAATTGCTTGAATTCTCCCCCGCCATTTATCCAGTGAAGTGCAACGGGGCTATCAAGCCATCCTTGCATCGCGGTCACAGGAAACCCTTCGAGAGCTCCTTGGACATTTCCAACTAGATTTGCAGCCATGTGAGCAGAAACCAGTTCGAGCCGCGGAATTGTCAAACCCCGCTTTGCTAATCTCGACTTCGCGGCCACAAGACCTTGACTCACTCCCAATGATTGATGGACAATTGCGTAGACGGCACTTGAAACACCTTCGCCACTTGCATCGTCAAATGCGTGGAGCTCTATGGACTCGATATCTTCGCGAAATCGCACTAGAGAACGTGGTGCGCTAACTTGTTTTGGAAGGTTTTGTTCCCATAGTAACCACTTCCTTTTAAGGTCTTCCTCTATCGGTGCATCCCATCCAATTTTCCTGTTACACGTTTCACGGTAGATAAACTTTCCCAGCAGGACTTGAGGCGAGACTAACCCCAAAGGATCGTAGATCTTAGCTAGTTTCCTTAAGATTCCTCGTTTGGTAGTTGTTGCTGTTTCTAATGGTATGGTGATACTGATTTGGTCGCACCTCTTTTCCCAACGAAGACCGAGAATGCTCGACTCCCCCCGGTGTGCGGTAGCCAGTTGCTGTTTGGCGAACGTTTCTTCACTTGTGGAATCTATGGCTGGTTCTTCCAATTCTTGTGCATTTGAATGCCGCGTCACGAAATATCTCGGTTGCTCTGTCCTTGAAAGTTTTTAATTTCGGTACGGTCGTCTTTCCGCCGATAAGATCGTCTACGTACATGCTCTTGCGAAGCTCTTTCACGTCTTGTGGCATTCGAGTTTCCCACGACTCCAAATGGTGTTCGATGACTCCTCAGAGTAGAATCTTAATCTTAGTAGAATCTTAGAATCCTCCGAGTGAATCTTAACGTCTCGACTGCTGCTTGATCGTTCGGTTTCCAGTGAAAGCGGAGTGCATCCCTTTCTGCTTGTTTAATCCGTACTTGGAGAAACGCTTGCTTCAAGTCACCAGTCAATGCAACGGGATGGAATCTCACACGAACCAGGACGTCCCACAAACGGTTTTGTAGCGGTGGTCCAGCATTCAGGCAATCGTTTAAACTGGGTGCTTCGGAGTGTGCTCGAGCAGACGCGTCGTACACGATTCGCAGTTTTGTTGATTCTGCAGCTTCTCTAACGACTGGTTTGTGTGGTATGTAGAACTCGCGTCTTCTACAATACCTTCTTCCCTTTGCGTCTTGATAATCTCTGCGTATGGTTCAGTCAGTTCGGTTTGTTTCAACTTACGAGTTAGGTTGTTGAGTCGTCTCAAACTCCCCTTTTCATTGGATGGAAGGAATGGATGGTTATTTTTCCATGGCAACCCCGTCTCGTACCAACCCTGATCACTTCTCACGAGTTGTTCACGGAATTCTGTGTAGACGTCTGTTTGGTCATGCTCTGGTCGATCCGCGATTCCAAGAACGTCCAAAGCCAAGGATTAGATGTATGGGTAGTTTTGACTTTTGGTCGTTGTCTTCTATGCAAACGCCTTGTAGATGTGGGTAGCTGGCGATCAGTTTCTGATAGTTTGGATTGTCGACACTCAAGAATTCGTTCTTGTCAACTTTCGTCACGTTTACGTTCATTTTGAATTTTCTGTCCAAAGCTTCAATGTTAATTGTAGATAACTCCATTTCTCGTGTCACCGCTCCGAGCATCATTTCTACACGTCGTACTTCTTTACGGTGGTCACGGTTTGACAAGCGCTTCAATAACGCAGCAGAAGCGTATGAACTTCCTGCACCTGTATCTAGAAGCGCGCGGCATTTCACCCCTTCAACATTAACTATGACTACTGGATAAACCAACGGTTCGTAACTAGTTCCGGTTGCGGTAAGTAATGGCTGATCTCTTGTACAAATAGAAGTATGATGTTTTTGATTATTATTCTGGCAATTTATGTTACTTTTGCGGTCAGATGCACGATGTTTTATGCCTGTGCAGTTGAAACATAGTTTTCTTTCCGCGAGTAATTTCTTTCGGGCCGAAACAGTTGAAACTTTACTACAATCTTTTGAAGAATGATTGGAATCTTCACAATAAACACACGCACTTTTTTCGTTCACCGTCCTTGGCATCGTAAAAACCTGATTCATACTGTCTACTGAATGAATATCCTTCCATTTCTTGAGAGCAATTACCAACCGCGGGAAGTCCAATCCTGCCATCCCTCTTCCACGCACTAAATCGGCTTTAATTCCCTTTAGCTTTTCTAGGCCGTTTCTGGTGGTACCATTGACTCTTTCTATTTTACCCAGAGTCTCTAACGATTGGACATTGTAGGAAAGTGTCTTATAAAATTCATGCACTTTTGCCGAATTCGATCCCGTTATGATGGGTAATCCCATTATATTTTGAATATGATCGTTGATAATTTCACTTGTTTTACCATACTCATCTTTTAATATATTTTTGGCTCGTTGGTAACCTTCAGTATTGAAAGGTAATCCGTTTATATCTTCGCGAATTTTAGGTTCTAGAAGTTCCTTTAAAGGAAACCAAACTTTGAAACGGCTGGTAAATCAGTGGAATCTATCTCTGCTTCAAATGTATTCCAAAACGGCAACCAGTCAGAATATTTACCACTAAATTTCGTAATTTTTAATTTACACGGGGCGAAAAAACAGATTTGCAATAAATTTGCACACTTGCAAATTAGTTGCAAATTCAATAACTAATTTTGCAATAAATTTGCGTATGAAGTGTTTTAGATTTGCAACTACTAAATTTACTTCAAAATTGCAAGCTGCTTTGCACAATCTGCAAATTTATTTGCAACTTTGCAATAAATTTGCCAGCGAAGTAAATTCATTGCGTAAATTGACTTTGCCAAAAAATACTAATGACTTTGCCATAACAAATTTCCTGTGGCATATGTATTTTTAAATTTACAACAAATTTGCTAGCGAAGTAAATCAGTTGCGTATTTATTACAAATTTTAATTCGCCTTAACTTTGCAAGAAATTACTAATGCCTTTACAATATGAATTTTCAATGGCAAATTTATATCTAAATTTACAACAAATTTGCAAGCGAAAAAAATTCGTTGCGTATATTAACTTTGCAAGAAATTACTAATGCCTTTCCAATATGAATTTTCCATGGCAAATTTATATCTAAATTTACAACAAATTTGCAAGCGAAACAAATTCATTGCGTATATTGACTTGGCAAGAAATTACTAATGCCATTGCCATATGAAATTTCAATGGCAAATTTATATCTAAATTTACAACAAATTTGCAAGCGAAACAAATTCATTGCGTATATTGAGTTTGCAAGAAATTACTAATACCATTGCATGCATATGAAATTTCAATGGCAAATCTATGTCTAAATTTACAACTAATTTGCCCGCAGAGCAAATTCATTGCGTAAATACACACGTTACAAATATTAACTCCTTTTTTACTTTAATTTGCAGAATAGTTCATCTGATGTTGTATATATATTCTTTACTATATCATATATTCTTTAGTATAGGCTTTCGGTGCTAAACTAGCCCGGAATCGTGCCGGATAAAACTGTCTAACACTCAACAGTGACGAATGAGGGAAAACTGAGCGGGGTATATTAATAATATTAAAAACAAAGGAAAATTGAAAGCTTTTATTAAGTAGTAGAGGGTTATTTTAGACACCTGACCATTTTCGCTGAAATATCCCAACTTTTTTGCGAACATGCATGCTTGATAAGGGACGTCAGGCCTGTTGAGGAATAAACGCAATTACTTCAAAGATATAGGGTGGACTCTTAATTAAGGGGGGGTGAATAGGGATATACAAATCCGCCGATCCGGCCAAATTTTAAGCAAAATCCGCAATCCGACAATGTTCTTGTCTAAATTTGGATCCGCTAAAAGCTATACTATCCGAACTAAATTGCAAGCTAAATCCACAATCCGAGCCAAAATATTAAATAAATCCGCAATCCGCTGTATTAATAAGATCCGCAAATCCGTGTAAAATATTTGCCAGGTCCGAAATCCAAACAATTTTTTCTGTGCAAACCGACGATCCGAAAACCTATTCACCACTCCCTCCCCCCCCCCTGCCCCTCACCCCTCAAGACAGAAAAAACATGAGCCGCAGAATTGAATGCATTTAAATAAAGGAACTATATGCCAATGAATAATTACAAGCTATCAAGTATTAAAAATTTGAAAATAGTCGACTTGTACGACAACAAGTGAATATAGTACCATGATCCTATCACCCTAACCGTCTACCCTATTAACGCCCGCTTCTGCAGGCTAGATGTTCTATGGCGGGAGAATTGACCAATCACGTAGCCAGATTTGTCTGCGAAGGCGCGAATTCAGAATACAACCATTTTTTGAAAACAAACTTCAAGCTTTTATTACGAAGAAAAAAGCACCAAAAACATAATATTTCAGCGATGAAGGGACTGTGAAAGAGTACTACAAAGCGGAAATGTTGAGTATGTTGCCTTTTCTGAAAAATATTCGACGATTAAAGCTTGAAATATTTGGAAATGCGAATTTTTTTTGAACAAGAACATTCGACAAAACAACAAAATGGCTTCCGTTTCTCCACCAAAAAGACGTTATTTCAGAACCTAAACAAGAATGAAAGTTGTATTTGGACTCATAAAAGGAAGGTTAGTCGACAATTACTTCATATCTAGTTGGTTATATTTTATTTTACAACTGTTTTTGAGTTGACTGTTGAGATTCATTGGACCGTTTTGATTTCACATTATTTGTCTTTGAACTCGTATGTCCGTATGTCTAGATATATTATAACTTTAATATTTAGTTTAGCATGTATATTGCTAAGTGTTTAAACTTCAAAGCTAACTTAACTACAGAGAAAAAGGCCGGAGTGCCCCTTCTATAGTTTTTAACCTTTTATTTCTAGCCAGGATTTAGAGTTTCTGTATCTTGCTGTTTATTTTTCATATTTTCTCATGTATATATAAGGTATACATATGCTTCTTGCCTTTTTGATTTGAACAAAACTTGAATTTGGTCAAACTAATTTATAGCTACCATGCGATCAAAGGCAGAGTCATCATAGGCAAAGTCAGACTGAGCTTTTGACCTGAAACTGGCCTCAATATTTATTAAATTTTAAGCCTATAAGACTAAAGCCTTGACGTTAATATTCTTGTCTGTTAATATAAAATATTATAATGTGATTAAGTCTTAAGCTATATCTATCATTGTGGTTATAATTCTACCCCAATGTAGATAGAAATTATATAAATAGAGCACCAGCATTAAAAAATATGTTTAGTACCAATATTAAAATGGGCAGCCATGAAAGTATAAATACAGTAGTATTAAATCAAGATTATGCATCACACATGAACATTGATGCTAGTTGTTATAGTTCATATTAATTATCCATCAAATATATTTTACACTAATTAAACTAACCATTTGCCTTGTACAGTCACACAGATTGACTACACCACCATTTTGACTTGCCAAATGATGTTAAATCAGTTAATGTGTTTTAATACATTGATATAGGATATTAAACAAATGTCAGGGCATACACCACAGTGAGTATATATGCACTAATTTGCTACATGAATAGAAATTTCACCAGCAATTTTAGAGCTTTCCCTTCAACCCTATAAACCTAGTTGAAGCTTCATTCTTTTACTATTTTTTACTGTTTTCAAGTTAATTTAGAATATTCGGTTTCCTTAAAATCACTTAATTAATCAAATAATAAAAAATATCTGATAGTTTGGACATGTCAGAATTGTGGTATCATCACGTCCTTCAATTATTCTATGATGCTAATTAAAGTTATTTGGTGATATAGATAGATAGATAGATAGACAGACAGATATTTTATGGACTGAATTACATAGATTTTCACAATAATATAAAACTTTAAATATTAGACATGTTAAAAACGAGAAAAAGTCTCCTCAATTATTACAGTATTGCACATGGATGGTACAACAATGTTCCTAATGTGTTAATCAAATATTAAAATCAAGCATGATCATGAAACTTAAATTATGCTAATGTATAAAACTGATTGCTATGAAACGCATGCAGTGAGTGGGGGAAGGGGGGACTGTAGGAGCAAAAAATGGCATGCACAAAAACTTTAGTCTATATATAGGGCTTGAAATTTTTGGTAACATGATACAGTATTTTCTGTTGTTTATGAATCCTTCATATACATATACAAATTATATTAGTTAATTCATAAATTAGATGAATTTAATTGCAACTGAAAACTCATTTTGCCCTGTTTTGAATATTATTATCCATATGTTGGATACTAGATTTCCAGATTTTAAGTTCATGCCCTGCATTCAGAAGAAGTCAAAAACAAGTGATACACTAAATTCTGGAAATATTTCTCTTGAAGCTTAGTATGGGTGTTTCTTACGCTTATATTATAAAAGCACACTCACACGCAATGAGTGGAGGTTCAATCTGAGCTTCTCTTGAGTGCCAATGCTAGTGTTTTTGAATAGCTGGAGAGTGAGTAGTTACACAGTAAGTTACGGCACTACTATTCAAAAACAGCAATAAACTCGAGAAAAGCTCAGATTGAACTTACACTCATTGAGAATATCAAATGAATACAGGGGCGCCGGAAGCAACATAAAGCGGCGGGGGCAGCCATTTAAAAAGGGCACTTACTCTTGAGCCTTAATTTTTTTTTGAGGGGGGTGGCGATGTTTGTTAACATTTTACTGTATAACGGACACTTCATTACTTGTAGCTAATACAGTTAGACAAATTTCGGCATGGATTGGAACATTTTTATTCGTTGCATGACACTAAAGACAAAAATGTATTGTAAAACAACATGACAGTTGTCAGTTATTTAGGAAAGCTTTCTTTTCACTCTTTTTCATAGGTGGAAACAGATTGATAACGTTTCTGAAAGGAATTCAGATTCAAATATGAGCTAAATTGGTTAAAAGCGGTTTTCAATTTCAATTCATGTGAAAAACGCACCGCGACGTTCGAAGTGCAGTTCTGGTAAAAAAGGCAACCTGCTGCCCCCTTTCAGCCCCCGTGCTGCCCCCGTGCTGCCCCCGCACTGTTTAGGCAACGGGGGCAGTTGCCCCCGTGGCTCCGGCGCCCCTGAATGAATAGGAATGATACTAGTACATAACAACGATATTTATAGGTGAAGATTAAAGTAATTTGATATGTACAAACATATTACGAGGTCCGTTACGCCTGATTTAATTCCGTAATTGAGTTCAGGTTTAAAACGTTGAATGGCAAGCGATTCTTTAAAAAGTTAAAAAGACCAATTAACAGATCTGTCTATATAATGTACAATACAAGTTGAGGTTGAGTCTCATTCTAAAACAGATATGATGTGTTGAAAATGTTCCCATGTGATTTATTGTCCAGCGAGTATTCCTTGATTCTAGTGTAGTAGCAGCGATTCGTTTTACCTATGTATCTACTTTAAATCCAGAACAAGTAAATTCATACTTTTCCTGCGCAGAACTTTAATTTAGTAGGTGTTTTAATTCATCTCAGCATGAAAGGAACAAGTTGCTGTTAGTAGTTTTCCAATTAATGAACTTGCATAGTTTATTATAGTAGGGTGTTATTCTGCCTATGAAGGAGCGGGTATAAGTCGTGTTCCACTTCCATATTTGCCAAGACACGGTAAAAATATAGCCAAATTAGTTAAGGGCGATGTGAGTTGGATCAGTGTCTGGATTATCTCGATGTGTGTCATGGATGGTTGTTTGATGTCGTTAAAGACGGCGTGAAAAAGATTATACATAGATTATATAGATTACGATTATACAGATCTGATCATTGGTCCTTTTTGCTTTTAAAAGAATGACTTGCCATTCGACGCTTTAAACCTGAACTCAATCACGGAACTAAGGCGTCAAAATCAGCTGTGTAGAAGGGGGGATGGGCTCAAGCCTCAAGGAAGCCCAACTCCCCGAGGGACTTAGCCACCATTGTTAAAGAATTTATGCCAGTTTGGGAGGCTGATCTCCCAATTTTTTTGCAGATTGCATATTCATAACCTAGAAAGTTCCTTGCAACTGTAGGGTTTAAATTATGTCATGGTAAAGACGTTAGCAATCAGTTCTTGATCAATACCATTAGGTAATGTATGTGGCTCCGACATGGAATAGCTTTGGCATGGTGCGATAATTCATGTACTTACGTACCAGAGAGGTACGCCGATATTACGACCAGGTAGGTATGCAGAACTCCGGCTATCTACGTAATCACATTTTGTTGGTACCACATAACCACCAAACTTTCTAAGGTATTCAAAACCGTTGGAGTCAATTGTATATATTTGTACATGCAATTGTTGAAGGCACAGTTCAGCCTTTTGAATGATGGTTTTTAAGGCGCATTTCAGCCCTGCGATGAAAAATATGTTGCTGTCACGTGACCAAATTTGCATTTTTCGGACAACTTTCGCACTCCGCTATTCAAAGTGTATAAACGTGCGCGATATAAACAAGCGAAAATATCGCAAAATAAGGACGATTTAAAGGATTTTTTTTGTATTTGTGGGTATATTTAAACTCCTGTAAGTGTAATATGTAGCGAAGGGAAAAATTTCCCGTTGTGTGGGTACGCAAATATAGGGATATATTTCGCTGACGGCTCGATTATACTATCCATGATTATACTATAAGCGATTCACAAATTATGTTAAAGAGATGTGCTTGGGGAATATGCAAAAGCGACTCGAGGTATCCAGCACGCTTAAAAAACAATGGGACTTCAGTATCTTTCTACAGTTTCCCAAGTGAGAAGACATCTAAGGAAAGAAGGTAAATTTGCATGCAATAAATGCATGTTGTCGAGGCGACAAGTTCGGTCTGTCGGAAAGACAGCTATATATGCGGTTTTCATTTTATTGGCGAAAATAGACCCACAGCGGATTATCCGGATACCAGCTACAGCTGATGGGAATAAAGTAAGTTATATTTTATAATCAATATACTTGCTTTTCTACTATAATGACCTGGCATGGACCAGATACACTCTCGCGATTATGCAGTACATCCTCCAGCGAATACAAACAAGCTGCAATGTGCTTGCAGTCTCTAATCTTCGAATGATTTATATGAGGCAAGTCCCTGTTTATCATACTCAGCTGAGCCGTATATTAAATAAGTTAAAAATATCATACAAACCGAAAGGTGGCGAATCTATAAAGTCGTTTACGACTGGATATAACAATGGCTGACGTATCACCATATCATGAATAATAAATGTTTCTCTTGCGTTCTTGAAATCCGAGTTTCCATATTCATGACTTGGGTCAATCGGCAACATCATTTTCTCCACCGCTTGAGGAATTTGAAGTAAAGCAGGTTTTAAATAGCCGTTTGCAGTAACGCTACGCATTTTCAAATACCCCTTTAGTTCGGCAACAGTCATGTCCGAAACACGCTTATTTTCCTTATCCATACAACTAGACATTTTTTTCTTCGGTATATTACACTTACAGGAGTTAAAATATACCCACAAATACAAAAAAAACCCTTTCAAATCGTCCTTATTTTGCGATATTTTTGCTTGTTTATATCGCGCACGTGTATACACTTTGAATAGCGGAGTGCGAAAGTTGTCCGAAAAAATGCAAATTTGGTCACGTGAGAGCAGCATATTTTTCATCGCAGTAACGCTGGAGTAATACGGGCAACAAAATTGCTGCAACTTGCAACAAAATCTGATTTCAACGCATGTTAAGTAGAAATGTCGGCACATGTTGCCTTGTGATTTGTAACGTATGTGTAAACATTTTTAATTAACATGCGTAGAAATCAGATTTTGTTGCAAGTTGCAGCAATTTTGTTGCCCGTATTACTCCACCTTAAACGTGGATTGAAAAAACTAACTAGGAAAATCAATTAAGCATAATTCAAGATTAGCAAAGTTAATGTTTTTAACATTTTAAAACATTTTTATTGTTAAAAAACATTGAGTTTACTGATCTTGAATTATGTATAATTGATTTTCCTAGTTAGTTTTTTCAATTAAAAGGGCTGAAATTCGCCTTGAAAAACCATTATTCAAAGGGCTGAACTATGCCTTTAAGACCTTTCTTCAAAAGAAACACTAATTGAAGAATTGCTAGCTAGAACCAACTATAATAAATGCTAAAACTTTCCATGCTTGTCATGTTATACACTGATTGCACCATCCACGCATTGTACCCTCCCGCCCCGCTTTAAGAGCTCCCCTCGATATCATTTCAGTTCTACGTCATATCAAATTACTTTAATCTTCACCTATAAATAGATATATATCGTTTTTACGTAACATACCATCATTCTATGATAACTAAAACATAGTCGGAATGCTAGAATTTATATAAAAATTTCCCTTTTCTGAGTTACCGTTGTTTTGTATTTTATAATGATTGATATAGGCTATAATGATAGATAGATGTGTTTCTTGTATAGACGCATGAAATTTTCATACATTTTTAGACCTAACCACGAGCAGAAGGGAGGGGGGAGATTTGCAACTATAGGTCTTTTGGCAGAAACCGAACCTGTGGTCCTGCGATTCAGGTCCAGCGCTCTAACCAATTGCGAGGCAGTGAACCACCGGGTATATGAGTAAATCAAGAGATTTTTTGTATCTCTCTTGTTTGAACTTGAACGGGTACCCAAAATATTTACTTACCCTTATATACGTATGCATCGTCTACTGACATAACTGCATAATATTATTCATGAATCTGTGGTTCAGCAACTGAACTTTGTAGCTAATAGGAAAGGCAGGACCAACCCCTGCCAAAGGGTCTATATGTGTATTTTTCGCAACTGCTCCTATGATTAGGTAGCACGATTAGGTATAAATGTGTATAGAAACTTGTGCTGGTAAATTGGTCATCCTCCAAAAATCTATTTACATGCAGTTTGTACCATTATTTGTTTTCGAACGAGATGCAAAATCTCGATGTTTACCTGTAATGATTAATGGGCTATAATCATTCAATCACTAAATGTCATCAACAATTATGATTCATTATTACAGTCCATAAATCAGTATTTTATAGCTCAGGAATCATGATATTCTACCCATGCATAATTCTAACATTTGATTGCGTTAAATGGATGATGAGCTGCCGTGAATGAAAGGTATAATCAGACTGATGCTGACGGTGTTTTAAATCTGGCGCGCACCATGCGATTTTAATCGGCCGATTAGAATCGCTTTGGTGCGCCTGGCTATGCATGCATTATAATTTTCAGTACCATATGTGTTTGTATAGGATGGGCCTAGGATGTACAAAAAAGGGCTATTTCCCAAAATCACTTTATACCTGTTATAGTATTTGCTGTGACTCTGCCTTACTATGATCATTCATACAACCTGATTAACTGATCATTTTAAGTTCGTTTCTAGATCTCAGCAGAAACGCAACAGGAAATTGATCTTAAATTGAATTTGCACGTGGAGTAACGAGAAAAGGCGAATATAAAAATAAAGAGACTTAACTGCCGGATGATCAATCTCGCCTAAAACAAGGAAGTTGGGACTACTGATCGTGCTATACACAGTGGAATGAGAAGAATCGTCGCAGTTTCATTATCAACCGACGTACTAGGTGACTGTGCTGACAGAAAACATATGAAAAAGCGCAACGGAAAAAAGGAAAACGACCAGCTTCGATTAAAATGGTATTAACAATTGTCGTCTTTACTGCACAGTCTGTCTTTAACTTTGATAATTGGTTTATAAATATTGTCATAGTTGAGGCTCCGACCATGAAACATCAAAACGTATAAAATTCATTACCATAAGATAAGGAACTTACCCAAATAATGTTATTATTCGGTTTACAACGTACTACACATTGCTGGTGGTATAGGTATAGTATACTATACAGGTGTATAAAAAAACTGCACAGTTAGAAAATATCTGCTAAACTGCTAGTCAGGCAGATAGAGGAACACAAATTGTGGAAAACTTACGATATCGAGGGGCAATTCCATTTGGCCTTCATATATATTGTGCCCTGAAGGCAAGTAAGTGCGTTTCTGTATGTCGGCGGTGTTAAAATGTCCTGCAGTGCGCTCCTGCCGGCACGGTTTACTTAGAATTTTGTATTACTCTATTACAGTTAAACAATGTGAAATTTCAAATATATTTCTAACAAAACTTACTTACATCATTGGAAAGCTTGAAAAAACTACAACAACGACATTTAAACAGTTACCTACCATGCAGTGTTTTCAAGTTCTCCTAGAGTTTAATACGAGCTGTTTTGAATGTTTTCAGAGAAAGTGTGTTTTCAGACTTATATTCTATTACCCAGAATTTTTGCAAGATTTTGGCTTACAGTTTTTCACATTTGGAACAGCAATAACTCGAAAACTACTTGAAAATCCCAGCTAACCATTTAAATGTCTTATATGTAGTTTTTTGTACAAGGTTTATTGATACAAGTCATTTGTATTAGAAATGTATCTGAAATTTCACATTTTTTAACTGTAGTATAGTTTAATACAAAATTCAAAGAAAAACATGTCAGTAAGAGACTACAAGAATTTTAACGCCGCCGAAATGTACTTACTAGCCCTCAGGGCACAAGATGAATGAAGGAGAAATGGGATTTCCTCTCCTATCTGTTATATTTCCTCTCCTACTTTTCTCTCCTATCTGCCTGACCATGCCAATTACGCAAAAATTGTAAAACTTTTACGTATGCATGGATAGTTTGAGGTTTGCTAGTGTCTTTACAATAAATTTATTTTGCAAAGTTAATTTTGGAGTGGAAGAAGTTGTTTTTGAAAACCACTTTAAAAATGACTTGCGCACAAAAAATGGAAGCTTAAAATTCAATTTGAATTGATTGGGGGGGGGGGGGATTTAGAAGACATATTTGTTAAACTATCAAAGCACCAGACAATTTGATGTATATTAAGTCCTACGCGCGACCTCCAAAACTTTGAAATTTTAGTTATTATATAGCAGCCTTTCACGCATAAATTTAAAGGCGTTTTCTAAAGAAATCAATCATGCATAAAATCAATCATGCATGAAATCAGTCCTGCGTTAAAAATACATTGTAAGTAGACAGCTAATACGACAAAAGTCTACGTTTCAGGAGTTGCGCATTGGACCTACATCAAACTGCCTCGCGAGTTTTCGATAGATCATAAACCACCTTCCAAATTTGCACCCCATGAATTCAAATGTGCACAAGCCATGGTGTTGGAAAACAACCTTCCTGTACTCGAGCATTTACTTTTGAAAATTGTTTTATTGGGCCGTTAGCAGACCCCAAACTATCCACACTTGCATAAAGATCAGAGTATTCAAAATCTGTGCGGAACTTGCACTTTAGCAGGCATTTTCGAACTGCTAGGTTTTTGTTATACACCTTGTAGTATAAAACGATTTCAGTGTGAAAGAAACAATTAATTGAATTTGCACCTACGGATGTCGAACAAATCGCATTGAGTAGAATATATAGTAGCATTTTGTGATGTATGCGCTGACTAAATTAGAGTAATTTATTATTTTAGTTAGAGAAGTTTGTGCTATGGCGTTTTGCCTAACAATACAACTAGCAACGCCGATACTAAAATGTGCTTCCATCTGTATAAAATGAATGCTACAACTTCAAACTTCAGTTTTCCTTTAACGATTTGATTTTATGCTTTTTAAAAGCTGCAAGCTCGTTGATGTATCCTCGTCTGAAAACGTGAAATTAAATTTTGCACATTTAGCAATATCTCTTCCTTTATTAGAATGCCAGCAAAGAACTAAATATAAAATATAAGACACCCATAATCAGGCCGTCACCTTGACTTGCCAATAAATAAGTTAATTGAGTTAGCTGAGTTAAAAACCAGAAATCCTCCTGCTATTTAAACGTGATCTTGCAGTTTTGCTCATCTCAAGATGTCGGAAATTCAGATTGTACGAAACTGATATCGCAAAGACTCAAAATTCTAAGGCCTAAATTATTTTGACGTTTTATTGCATGTGCATTCATTTTTTCTGATGGTTTCATGTACGCACGTCTATATCACTATAAATTATATACTATAGGGCACTACACTTTCCTCGTGTTTCTGGTACTAATAAGACTGTATGCACCTTAGTATATATACAGACTATATAGCAATATTTGAAACTTATTTAATTTAATAATATATGAAGAGTTTGGTGTTGTCTGCATGGCAGGATATAGTGGTGTTTAGATGCTTGTAATTTTGTGTGATTGATTTATTATTTAATTAAAAACGTATTTTTTGTTACTGACTTTTGTTGTATCATTACTATGCTGGAACCAAATTAGCTCGTTGTTGCATGTAAAACAATGCCTATATATAGTAAAAGCGAAACGTTTGTAGTGGAAATGGCATGGGAATTAATTTACTTGTATACGATCATGCTTCAGCCTTGTAGGCCTATTATGACAATGAGTTTGACTTTCTTTGCGCGGGATCTCGCTATGAAGAAGAAAATCCGCCTATGATTCACGAGAACGAGTTATTGAAAGGATTTGCGCATGGTAAAAGTTGATGTATAATTAGTTTTTGTCATAAATTTGCTACCGATGCAAAATGCTTCAAAGTACGTTTCTCCTAAGCGTGCAAAATTATTCGTAAAGTTTTGAAAGTCGATCTTTGCATTAAATTTGCAAACGAGCAAATTTGGTAATAATTATTATTTGCCTGCACAATTCCATTGCGTAAAGCCGTTAGTAAAGTTGCAGTTTTGCAAACAAATTTGCTAACGAAGCAAATTTATGCAAAGTTGATTTTTACAACACTTCTGCAACAACTTTACATATTGCCTTGACGGCAATGGCTAATATACAACGGGTGTAAAGTTGTTGCATTTATCATATTTACGAATGTGTAAAACCAAGTGAATTCGGTAAATTTAACCTTTGCGACATCTTTACGATATATTTTGCGCGTGCGTAAATGTATATTTTCGTCCCGTGAATGTTGCGAAAAATGCCAGTATAGACCCCAGCCGGCGGTATCAAATCAAAGTCCTGCGATTCTGGGGCATTGCTGTGACCAATGCGTTACAGAGCTCAGCTACTAAGAGCTGGGTCAATTTCGGGTTTTAAAAGACGTACGTTATCTAGTAGTTCTTTAAAAGCTTTTGAATAACTTGAAATGAAAAAATTAATTTACATTAATGCGTGATTGTACGGATCGTTTGCCGTTGCGTCACAATTTGCATCAAAACTCAAAACGTATTATGTATACCATATTATTTTCAGAAATTTACACGTGGATGCCAGTTTATCATCACCGCTCAAAAAAACAGTTGTTTTAGTTCAAAAAAAGGCAAAACAGCAAAAACTATAGAGTATAATAGCATGGTAAACGTTGTGACCATATCAGAATTTAAAGTAAAACAACTCCATTGCTGTACATACTTCAAACTCATCATACATCCGTCGGTGATGGTAATAAGCGTGAGAAAATATTCTATAAATTCTTCGACAAACAGAACCAAGCTTCGAGATCGATGACTCCTTGATGGCCACCCTAAAGTGAAAAATTTAACGTTACTACAGTGCATGGTTCAATTCTTCCTGTTACCACCCTTCCGGAAAATGTACACCGATACTTCCCGGTTGTGGGAATTTTTTTTGTTGAGCGTCTGGTGCCGGGGGTGTCCCATTGGGGGTAGGGGTGGGGAATATAAATATTCACACGCGAGGGGCTTTGCATGGCGAACCTGCAAGAATACTCGCAAGAAAAATTGACGAAAGTATTTTTATCCAAATTGTAACCAGGAACCATGCTATTTCTTATTATAACCTTAATTCGTCCATTAATTCCACCTATTCAATGAAGAAATTGATTAAACCTCCTTCTCTATTAAGCCCCAGCCATCTATTCAGCCTCTCCTCCGTATTCACACAGTGACACAAACACGTGTGTTTTGATTAGATTTATTGATTTTCTTTACACCAATGTGTTTTTATTTTCGGTTTTAAAATGGTTTTGTTTTAAGCTTGTAGTTGTGTTAATGTTGTAACCTTATATACTTGCTAAAACATATAATTGTTAAACATACATTTTATTGTACTTGAACAACATTGTCATATCATCCCCCTATCAGGGTGAAGGGTTAGATGCCCCCGGTTAGGGTGGGGGTGGGGTGGGGCGAGGCTCAAGTTATCAATGTGTCTATACATCATACATAAAGTGCACCTGAATGATGACATACATCAAAGATTCAAGGATGACCGTATGATGATATACATAACATCATACAAACGAACAGGATGGGTCGCATAAACATGAAACAAATTACACGCTTCGATAGCACCAGCGTACTCAAATTCATCAGTAAATTTATACTGTTACGTGTTTTACCCTCGAGAAATAAAGTTTTTATATTGTATTCTAGCATAGTTAGATGGTTTGGGAGCTCATTAGAATAACAATATAACTCATCATCTATGTTAGTCAACGTTTATTCATAAATCTGGTCCTTCACCATCACGTAATAGCAATTTCCAGTTTCCCTATTGTTCGAGTCACGGATAGGTTAACTTCCTAAGACATTGCTATTGGTTAGTTGGGCAAAAATACAATACACACGTGACGGTGAAGGACCAGATTTATGAATAAACGTTCACTAACATAGATAATGAGTTATATTGTGTTTCTAATGAGTTTCCAAACATCTATTTTATTAATTATGCTTCTACCAACGTGCTTACTTTTGCTTTACCATATGACCAGCAAACGTTCCCAGGTATTCAAAACCGAAATTAAAATTAAGTACAGTATTGGTAGCTATATCTGAAATGTCTTGGCATGAAACCATGATTGGACTGACGGAATAAGATGGCATTAAGGAATGTCGAAGTCAATTGCATGTGGTCGTGTGTACAATTGTGTTCCTTATAATTGTTCTAACACATAGTTTCAGGTTACTGAATGAAATGCTTTCAAAAAACTGTGATTTATGCCAGTACTGTATCTTAAAGACTAAGTACATATTGAGTCTTAAGTTTATAATTCAAGTTAAGTAAGCGTCAATAATCACTGCAGTACCAGTAAGGTACAACTAAAAATCTTGAAGCATCGCACACTGTACTCAGCTTGCCGCATTTATAAAATTATCCATAAAAATACACAGTACCGGCTAGGAAAGTATTTATTGCCGTTAAGAAGTGACGCAGCGCCACTTCATCCAAAGTGTGCCTTGTATAGTCCAAAGCAGGACACTATAGTTAAAAGAAGCAGAAATATTATGAACCTTTCGATTGCAAATGTTAATATTTATCATTACTCTATGCATGGCAAGGTGGTCCGTCTACAAAATGCAACATTTTCATTGGTTCCTGAGCGGTCGGTAACCTGCACTACGGACTGCTCACTGATCTCATAGTGTGGACCGCTCGCGTAGAAAAACGTAAAAATATGTGATCTTGGTAAGTTTTTTTTACATAAAATAACTTGAACTATTGTACTCTAGTTTGTGTTAAAACGTTGTTTACATGAATTGTATAAAAACGCTTTTTTATAATGCTGACAGAGTGATAGTTAATACTTGCCGCCATCGAGCGGTTTTTCGGGGAACTGAAGTGAAATTGGACTAAAAACTGCTCTGTTTTCGACTTTTAAATTAAAAGATTAATACCTGAAAATAAGTTGTTATCGTTTGACCTTGGTCAAAAATTGTTTCCAGTTAAAATCCTGCATTTTTAAATGTTCAGACAGTGTAGTAAGCAACTTAATTTATAAACATTGTTTTTCATAAATTAATAAATTAATTTATGAAAATTTTTTTCATAAGTTAATAAATTAACTTATTGACTGAGCTTGTTCGGTCCAGACAGTAGGATATTAGTCTCGTTCTTTTTTCGTTTGCATACATGGGCCTCGGCCATATACAAACGAAAAAAGAACTCGACTTACATCCTACAGACCAAACCTCTCGCTTAGTCAATAACATATATGTGTTGAGCACTGTGATTTTCTATGAGCGAAATGTATACATAATGAATATAAAAATGATCAAATGAAACCTCTTTTGGAGTTTTATGCGCAGCACAGAGGAAGATCCATTGTTCTGTTGCAGTCATCTGAGTACATACGTCAGGAAAGCAGTCAACCTAGAAAAAATGTTTAGTATAAATATTGTGCATCAAATTTTCTCGGCTTTATATGCTGTTATAATTTGGGGGTGGAAACGAGATAAATTTTTTATTCAATTCTAGAAAAAAAAGGGTGGAAAATGCAGTGGTAAACTCATAGAGATTATTAAATAACACTATAGAGGAAGCATTGTAATCTTAATTCAGTCAAAAAAAGGGAACGCGGCTATTGGGGGGCAAATTTATGTTTCCATTGGTGACCAGTTTCAAATCAGCCAATCAGAGCACGAGAATTTGCCCCTCATTAGCCGCGTTCCCAATTTTTAACCTCGATGCCTCCTCTAGTGTAATTTATAATCTCTATGGGTAAACTGACATTCAGCCCTTGACGTCACAACACATAATTCTGACGTGATTGTTTGGCTTCCACCATTTTGGGTGGCAAATGTTTAAATCTAAATAAAAACATACACGGTGTCAATTAGTCGTCGTATTTCTCCAGGTTTATAATTCGACAGAGCTCCAAATAATCGCTTTCATTTGCATTTATAACCTGCTTGATACGAAATGAGAAAGGCTATTTTCTGGTGAATTGAGATAATGGTTTGTACTGGTTTCCCCTGCTGTCTGTAGTGACCATCATTATTCTTGCCAATAAAAAATTTGGGGATTTCTTGGCACAATGTAATATTGTTGGCTTTGTTGCATGACTACAAGACCTGAATATGTCGAGAGTATATTCCTTACGAGATGGAACTTTTTTAATACAGTTGTGGATGGTTCTCTCCTGTGCTCCGAGGATTTTCCTCCGGGTTCACCATAGATGTGCTTCGTAATAGGTCATCTGTGGAATGGTGGCAGCCACAGACGCCCTATAGTTATAGTAAGGCTCTGACACATCACGTTTACCCTGCGTGTCTTTAAGCACTCAGATGGAATGGTAATTACTCGAAAGATCTTTGCCAGTGTAGGTAGTGACAACTGCATGTATGTGGCTACCAACTTCCCGACGAAGGGCCTTCGCTCGAAACGCCGAATTTTTGCTTCTATTTTTCAGGTATAGTTAAATCCCTACCCATGCATCTGCAGTTTTCTGGTGCAAGAATAACTGTGGTATGTCTGCGATATATTGAACTTATGACATGTCGCCGGTTAAACTTGAATTTCTTTTATATTACTGATTAATTTGTGAATTTCAGTTATCATAACAATTCCGACTAATTATAACTTTACCGATAAAATCCTCATATATAGTCGGGTATATATATTTATCACATACTTGTACCTTTATCAGGTAGGAAGCAGCGGGACATAAAAACGATATCGTCCCGGATATCGTTTTTTGTCCCAGATATCGTTTTTTGTCCCGGATATCGTTTTTGTCCCGCTAAATTTCGCACCTTGTCAAAACAAAGATGGCCGACTCGAGGTTCGTGTTGGTTGATGTCGACAGTTTTATCGAAGGAAACAAGAACGATAATACAAAACGAAAGACTTTAATAAATTGTATATTTATTTATATGAATTGTCTATTTATTTTCTAAAATCATATTTGTTCAGTAAATGATGAAGTTTTTTGAATTCTAAAATGATCCTATTTTTTCAAAACTGTTTACTTTTGGGTGTCAAACCCTGATAAAGGTACAAGTATATAATAAATAGGTTATCGTACTCGGGATTCGGTCATATCAGTTTTATCGCTCTCGGGACGATATCACAATTGTCCCTCGCTCGCTGCGCTCGCTCGTGACAATTGTGATATCATCCCTCGAGCGATAAAACTGATATCACCTCATCCCTTATATGATAACCTATATATATCTGTATATCTATATATCTATATATCTATATATCTATATATGAAACTTGCATGTTATGGTTTGAAAGAGTGTAGTTTGGAATGGGTTGAATCCTACTTGACAAATAGGGTACAAGTTTGTCATGTAAATGGCATATATTCAAATGAAGAAACCATTTCCTGTGGGGTTCCACAAGGTTCCATTTTGGGTCCGGTCTTATTTTTGCTTTATATAAATGACCTACCCAGTTGTTTGGAACATGGAATTGCTAGGCTTTTTGCTGACGATACAAATATCACTTCCACAGGTTGCAATTTGGAATCGGTCGAAAATAAAATGCAGATTGAGCTCAATAAAATATTCAAGTGGCTTTGTGCAAACAAGTTGACACTGAATATTTTAAAAACCGATTTCATGGTTATTGCTTCTCGACAAAAGCTAGCGACCTTGGGAGACTCAATAACATTGTCAGTAAACAGTGTTTCATTAAGCCAAGTTCGTTCGATGAAATCCTTAGGAGTAAACATAGACGAAAACTTAACTTGGGAAAACCATGTGTAATATTGCTACTTTGAGGCGATTAAAGCCCGTTTTAACACAAAAAAACCTAGTATCACTCTATCGGGCGATAATTGAACCATATTTCATTTATTGCTCCATAGTTTGGGACAGCCTTGGTCAAACATTAGACAGGTCTCTACAAATTTTACAAAATAGGGCTGCCCGTGTGATAACTGGGGCACATTTCTCAACATCATCCTCAAAACTCTTAAAAGAACTTGGCTGGATGAATATTCAGGAAATGAGGTATAAACAAAAGGCTATGATGATGTATAGAATAGTAAATGGTAATGCACCATCTTATTTAATATACATATTTCAACATTGTCATGCTTTGGATATATATAATCTCAGAAGGTCTAAAATAACCTTCGAACTTCCAAAAAATCGAACACTGTATTACAATTCAAGTTTTGCCTTCACTGGTGCTAAATTATGGAATTCTCTTCCGGATGAGATAAAATACGCACCATCACTTAAAATATTTGTAAAAATGTTAGACTCGACTATATTCTGTGCCAACTAGAATATGTTTTCTGTATATAGTTTTATATTGAAATATTAAGATACACGGCTTTTAGGAAGAACAAATGTAAATATGTCATATCTACAATTGATAAAACCACCGTGGTTAAATAAAAATTTCAATCAAATCAATCAATCTATCTATCTATCTATCTATCTATCTATCTATCTATCTATCTATCTATCTATCTATCTATCTATCTATCTATCTATCTATCTATCTATCTATCTATATCTCTATATCTCTATATCTCTATATCTCTATATCTCTATATCTCTATATCTCTATATCTCTATATCTCTATATCTCTATATCTCTATATCTCTATATCTCTATATCTCTATATCTCTATATCTCTATATATCTATATCTCTATATATCTATATATCTATATATCTATATCTCTATATCTCTATATCTCTATATCTCTATATCTCTATATAGATATATATATAGATATATAGATATATAGATATATAGATATATAGATATATATATATATATATATATATATATATATATATATATATATATATATATATATATATATATATATATATATATATATATATATATATATATACAGGGTGTATAAAAAAAAACTGAACAGATTTGAAATTGCTCTCAATTTCGCAAAACACCTATTTGTATCTGTTTTTTAATATATATAGCTTCTTTGGGTACTTATAATGTAAAATAATGAGAAAAAAATTCTCGAACTCAAATTTTGTGAACCAGGGGGGTGTGTCTTTTCCAACAAACTAAAAATGGCTCGCGCACAAAATTTAAAAGCTGTAATAATATTTTGAGTTGATAGATTGAAAATGTGTCGGGTTTTTAATTACTGTACAAAATTTCAGACAATTTGGTTTAGTTTAAGCCCTTTAACTATTCATTTTGTTCTAAAAAGTCAGCCTTTCGCATGATTAATTAATGCCTTTACCTAATTTGCATATTGCTGACATATGCAAATTAGGCAAATGCATTAATTAAGCATGCAAATAGCTGATTTTTCGGGAAAATTGTAACTTTGCGTGAATAGTTAAGGGGCTTAAACTAAACCAAATCGTCTGAAATTTTGTACAGTAATTAAAATCCCGACAAATTTTCCATCTGTTAACTCAAAATATGATTGCAGCTTTCAAATTTTGTGGGCGAGCCATTTTTAGTTTGTTGGAAAATACACCCCCCCCCGCTGGTTCACAAAATTTGAGTTCGAGAAATTTTTCTCATTATTCTACATTATAAGTACCCAAAGAGGCTATATAAAAAAAAAACCGGATACAAATAGCTGTTTTGTGAAATTGAGAGCAATCTTAAATCTGTTCAGTATTTTTTTATACACCCTTTATATACAGTGACATTACCATGATTTCTTGGCAATTAAGGGGGGGGGACGTGGTTATCTTTGTTCAATTCCTTTTCATATGTGTGTGTGTATATATATATATATATATATATATATATATATATATATATATATATATATATATATATATATATATATATATATATATATATATAATATAGTCATTCACCGTATATGAGCTGTTCCGCAATCTGATTGGTTGAATTACTCGCCGTATATCAGCTTATATACGGTGAGTAGCGAAAAACAAGATGGCTGTCCAAAAACTACATGAGTTTTGCGAAGCAGAAAAAAGGAAAATATTCGCTTTGGGAAAGATAATCGTACAAGGAAAAACTCTCAAAAAAATTGGACAGGTTAGCAAAATACATTTATTACAAAGAAATTAGTTTAAATACAAGTTTTTTTAAAGAATTAATACCGAAACAACAGCGAAAAAAACATGTTCATATAAATTGAGAATATAAATTGTTCAGAAAAGTTTGCAACGAAAGACAAATGAATTTGCAGTCAACAAGCACTTACTATACTACCAAACATTTGTATAATATATCTGAGCTTTTCTGTGAGATACACCGGTTCTAAAACTATTTCTTTCACTTCGTATTAAAACAAAAGTATATTTCAAATTTTCAAGGCCAAGCGATTTTTGGCCGAACGGCCCAAACAAATTGTCAAGAAATTAATATAACGGAGGATAATTAATTAATGGACAGTTAATGGCTATTAGACT